CACAGTGGCCCGGCAACCATTGTAAAACAATGTCGTGTCCTTGATCAGCAGCGCGATGACAAATTTCATTAATACGATACATCATCTGGTGGTAGTTTCCACGTCGTAGACTTCGCACGCATTGAAGGGCTGCCTTGGAGTCGCAGAAAATGGCCCATCTACTAGGGGATTCTTGCGTAACAAACTCCACAGCGGCTCGAAGAGCGGCGAGCTCGAATCCCCTAGATGTCGTGACGTGTGATGTCTCGAATTTGACGGTGATTGATCGAGATGGTATGACAAATGCACCTGTTGAACTTTCCGAAACCAAACCGTCCGTGTCAACAGGAATTCGGTTAGCATACGACAAGTGCAAAAGGTCCAGTGAGATTTGCTTGAGGGCTGCCGATGACAGGCTTGCCTTTTTAGATATCCCCGGCACTTCAAGGTGCACAGTCGGTCTTTTCATGCACCACTCTGGAGATAGTAATATGGTTGCGGGTGAGAATCTCCACGAGATGGAATTCTGGTTAGCCGCAACAACTTTGGAAAACGCTGCCTTTGGTCTTTCTAGTGGCAAGCTTGCAAGGTGGTGGTTAGGCACTCTGGATATGTGACGGATATGTGTCCGGAGTGTGTAAACAGTTATATATGTCGTGATCGGATGGTCGTTAGCAATACCAATTGTTGCTAACGTATTAGCGCACTGAGGTAGCCCCAAGCATGAACGGGGGACTTGGCCTTGAATGCTTTGCACGACACTGATGTTAGTTTTTCCGGCGTTGGAAACCACGGGCGTGCTGTACCGCAAATATCCCAAAAAGAGCGCTCTGTACAGCTGAAGCTTAGATGACACTGATGTGCCCCACGTTTTACCAGCGAGAAATCTCATCACGTGTGTGATAGAGCTGAGCCTCTTCTTCGAGTGCGAGATGTGAGAACTCCACGAGAGATCTCTGTCGATATTGACGCCCAGGAATCGGTGACGTCTCATATATGAAAGGTTCACCTTTTCGATAGAAACAGGATAACAGATCATGTGCTTGCGGGTAAAAGGGGCTAAGACGCACTTATCGGTAGAAATTGTGAGGCCTCGAGCATGGAGGTACGTCGACATTATTCTCGCTGCTTTCTGGAGCCGTGCGAGTACCTGGAGTCGTGTCACTGCTGAAGCCCAGATACATATATCATCAGCGTATGTAGAGATATTGACTGATCGAGGTAGACTTTGTACAAGGCCAATGATTGTGAGGTTAAACAGCGTATGGCTGAGAACCCCGCCTTGTGGAACGCCACGAGTGGTGTCATTATCAATGGTGCGGCCTTCCGCAGTGAGCACGAAGAAGGATCTCCTCTGTAAGTAGCTTCGAAAAGAAACATTTCTCCACCTATTCCAATGTTCGCCAAGGCATCTAGGACGGCATCGTGCGTTACATTGTCGTATGCACTTTTCACATCGAGGAACATTGCAACCGTCATGCGCTTGAGGTATTTCTGTTGTTGCACAGAGGTTACGAGGTCGATGACATTATCAATAAAACAGCGGCCTCTTCGAAAACCAGCCATGGCCTCTGGGTATATATTATAGCGTTCAAGGTACCACTCGAGGCGTGTCAGAACCATTCTTTCCATTATTTTCCCCGCACAGCTGGATAGCGCGATGGGTCGATATGATGCCAGATCAAGCGGTGACTTTCCAGGTTTGAGGATTGGTACCAAGTGGCTGGATTTTCACCTTTCTGGAACGACACCATCGTTCCATGAGTGGTTGTAGCATTTTAGTAGCTGGTCTCAGCCGCGTCTTCCAAGATGACATAAAGCAGCATATGTAATACCGCCCGGCCCAGGTGACGATGAACGTCTGCAGGTGGCTAGAGCTGCATGCAGTTCCTCGAGTGAGAAAAGCATATTCAGTTCACTAACTCGTGCTATGGGAGCATCCTCGAGAACTTCGTCACTCATGGTAACCACATTGCCTGCAATCCTCACGCAGAAATCTTCAGCAACGTGAACCTGCAGGCGGGCTTGATGGAGAGCCAATGAGCTGAATGGACGATGTTTTGGAGTTGAGCCAAGACCACGCACCGTCCTCCGTATACGGGACATAGGCTTGCGAGGATCAAGTGATTCACAAAATTTCTTCCACCGTTGGTCCTCCAGCTTGTCCATTCGACGATGGATTTTCTTTTGTAGACGTCAAGCGTCTCTGAGGTCATGAATCGAATTAGTGCGCCTGTACCTCCTCTCCGCCTGGCTACGAATCTTTCGTAGTCGTTCAAGTTCTATATCAAATTCTGTACGCTTTCATGTGTATCTAAAGGCGCACGTAACCCCTTCCATCACATTTTTCATTACCTCGTCGAGGCCCCACGTGATATCATCGCATGCCTCTTCCACCTTTGCCTTGTACATTGTCCAATTAACTCTTCTCTTAGTTGATGAGGAGGAAGTTGCAAAACTTGTGACCTTCAGATACGTTGGAATATGATCACTACCGTGAGTCTCAATATCAGTGAACCATCGCACTTGTTGGGTGAATTGCCGTGACACCAATGCAAGATCCAAGCAACTGCTATATCTCGAACCACGCAAATACGTCGGTCTGCAGTCATTCATAACGTTAAGTTCGTGGCGTGAGGCGAATTCAGCAAGTTTCCGGCCTCTGGAATCAATCTTTGTGCTTCCCCAAAGCAAGTGATGAGCATTAAAATCACCAATAACAATCCAAGGTCCAGGTGTAGCGGTAAAGATGTCATGTAGTCTTTCACCATCGAACTGACCAGATGGCGAGATGTATGCGCCGATAAGTGTGAAGGCTACCTTATTCTTTGCAACGTGGAGGCATACGTATTGATTTCCGTTATGGAGTTGCACCAAATGTGAAAATGAAGGTTAAATCTGTGCGGATAATTACTTTTCTGGGCTCACCACAAGTCGATGAAGTGAAGGCTTCGTAGCCAGAAAGATTTATAGCTTTTGACAAATTTGGTTCACATATTACTAATATAGGAAAACATCGAAGTCGTCCTTTTGGTATGGCGTCTTCCTCTCGTCGTTTACCTCGCAGATGGCTCCGCTTGACTGGCATCATGACGCAAATTGTTGACCCCTTGCACAGGTTGCAAGTTTTCCCCTAGGCAGGACAGTGCCGTGCGGCATAGGATCGGCTGAAGTGGGAACATTTGAAGTTTCGGCTCGACGATGCTGCAAGGACGTGAAGCTCTCCGTCAGTCTTCTGCCACAGCAAGTTCTCACGTGCTGATGTTTCTGCCGCCTTACATAAAGCCACGACTTTATTCAACGTAAGGCCCTTGTCCCTGAGCAGCTTCTCCCGAAGCCTCAGCGAGTTTGTACCGAACACTATTTTGTTGCGCACCTTCTCGTCAATCATCATTCCATATTTGCAAAACATCGCCTGCTTCTTCAGCGCGCGGAAGAACTGTTCGAAGGGTTCATCTTCGCTCTGTAGTCGAGTCCGGCAGACGTAGCCCTCATGAATTGTGTTTTCTTGCTCGACGAAGTATTTCTCGAGCTTGGCCACTACCGTGCCATAGTCCTGCTTGTCTTCACCATCATCAAACGTAAGGTTGTCGTGCACTTCAAGTGTCTCGTCACCAGCCACGCCAAAGAAAATAACCGTTTTTGCTGCTTCTGACCTTGGTTTTTCAGAGCACTCTGTGTCTGCCGAAAAGAAATCAAATTTTCGCCAAAGGAGCTTCCATGTTCTTCCCCTGTTGATTGAGAGGCCCAGAGGTTCAGGTGGTTGGATGTACTCCATGCATGCGGTGGTTTCGAAGGCTGTGGTTAGGTACCCACTTGTTACGGTGCTTCCTTCATCGTCCAGCTGGCGAGGCTCCAGTTCCGCACTTCTGACACCATGTAGTCAGCCGGGCCACGTTCAATGGCACCAACACGCATGTCAGGACAGTAGTGAACGCCGGTGTATATTGTCGTCAGTCTTTTATAGTGCAACGAGGTAAAGGGGTAGGGGTTTAGTAGATAGTAAAGAAAGGAGCGTGTAGTGCAACCAAGATACCTCGATTGTGCTTTTAGGCCTGATACCATATTGAGGTGACGTGGCCGCAATAGCGCCGGCAGCACGAGACACTCTGTGGCAGAGTGCACGATTACGCCATCTCTAGTAGCGCACGTTTTCATAGCATAGCCAGGTGTCTCTGAAAAGGAATCGTTGTTGAGGAGAGGAGATGTCAAGCTCAAGAAGAAAAAAAGTGAGGAGGAAGAGAGTGTGCCATAGTATGGAGAAAACGGAAACTCTGAGAAAGAGAGAAAAGCTAGAGAGAATCATGAAAAGGGAAGCCCGCCGCGGTTGATCAGTGCTTACGGCGCTTGGCTGCTGACTCGAAGGGCGCGAGGTCGATCATCGCCGCGGCAGTGATATTTCTGCAGAGGCGATTTGGTAGAGGCCCTTGTAAAAGAAAATATGCCCTTCTATATTGTGGTTCTAGAGCACGTATTTAATAAATGCCAGATGGTTGAGATTTCTTGATCCCTCTACTACGGATACTTATAACTATGCGTTGGTTTTTATAAGTGAGGCCCCAGGAGGTTTTCGTCAAGACAAGATAGAGAGAAAAAAACATAGACAGAGAGACTCTACATTAATAGAATTATGAGAACCAGGTACGGAAAAAAATAGAAATAAGAGTTCTCACATTCTTTGCCATAGAAAGTATCAGAAAATATGAGGAAGAAAGATGTGCGAAGGCCTTAGCCAAGCCTATAGCAGCTACCTGCCCAAAAGCCCTTCTGGGTGCCTGACCTTGTGCCGGACATCGGGTAAGCTGAGCTAAGTTTCGAAATATTTTTATTTTCGAATATCATTTGTCTCAGATGTCATGTCTTAGCATAAATCACTGCCTCATTTTTAAAATGGTGGAATTTCTTCACTGCAGTTTCATAACATTTAAGGCAATGCTCAACTTACTGTTGTTTTTTGGTTAATTATCAGAATTGATGTGTACGTAAAGCTCTCGCTTACGCATCTTCATTTCATCTTTCAGCGCCAGACATGAGTGTAATCCGAAACTCGACGGGATATGGATGTTCCACGCCAATAATGGAATATGAGCCGTACTGCGGCCCACTAATTACAAAATATTATTACAATCGCACAGCACAAAGATGCCTATCTTTCAGGTGGAATGGCTGCCTGCGCGACGGTGTTTATGACACGCGCATCGATTGCACGTATCATTGCAGTCCTGGTATGTGGATGGCACTTCTTTTGTCCCCTTCACGTTCTGTTTTTCATTGGCAAAGTCATCAATATTGCTCTTCTCAAGTCCCTGCTACATGTGCGTAAGAAAATATAGGCCCTCAATTTGAAGGCTATATTTTATGTAATGTCGACCATTGGCTTTCTTTATATTCAAGTTGTGGGTTTCTAAAACGTGCTGTACTAAAGAAAAGCTAAAATTGTATTTAGTTTCTGAAGAGTACCTGAACAATGCTTCTTGTAGTCGACACCCATTGGAAGCGCGACTGACATTGACGCCGCTGTATCAGAAGCATCAGTGGCTTTAAGCCTTGTTTACACTAAAACATTTTCCATCTTGCGAGCCAGTGTGACTCAGTCGCCGTAAACTGGGATGTGCTCCCACTGTATTTGCCATCCCGCACATGCACCAATGTCGTGAGTCATGCGTCACTGATTCACTACGGTAGCGCTTGAGAGGGACCGTCACCTAATCAAGCCAGCACCTCCCCCAAAATGCCCATTACTGTCACAGCCGACCTGGAAAGCCAGCAGTGGTGCATGCTACGCTGCAGCGCATGACAAAGAAGGCCGCGCTCCACCACTCGCGTGTGTGTGCGAGAGCAGGTGTCACATCACTGCATAAACCACAGTGTCTACTTCGTCATGTCGTTTGCGATAAAATTATTTAGATTGGTTACTTGGCAGCTGAAAGAGGCCTATGATAGGATGCGTCAGGGATAAGAGTTAATAAAGAGTACCTTACAGTAAGCTGCGTTTCGCCGATGACATTGCGTTGCTGAGCAACTCAGGGAACGAATGGCTACTCATGATTACGGAGTTAGACAAGGAGAACAGCAAGGTAGGTCTTAAAATTATTCTACAGAAAACGAAAATAATGTACGACTACCTCAGAAGAGAACAGCGCTTTGGCATATGTAGCAGTGCACTAGAAGTTGTAAAGGACTATGTCTACTTAGGACAGGTAATAACCGCAAAGCCGAACCACGAGATTGAAGTAACTATAGAAGAATGAAAATGGGGTAGAGCCCATTCGGCAAGCACTCTCACATCTTGACAGGTAAATAGCCACTATCCCTCAAGTGGAAGGTATATGACAGCTGCATCTTGCCGGTACTTAGCTACGGAGCAGACACCGGGAGAAGTTACAAAGAGGGTTCAGCTTAAATTGAGGACGATGCAGCGAGCAATGGTACGTGAAATCGTAGGTATGACCTTAAAAGACAAGAAAAGAGCAGAGTGGATCAGGGAACAAACTGGGGTTAAGGATATCACAGCTGAAATCAAGAACAGAAAATGAGCATGGGCCGGACATGTAGCGGGTAGACAGGATAACCGCTGGTCATTAAGGGTGACGGACTGAATTCCCAGAGAAGGCAAGCGGGTTAGGGGGAGACAAAAGGTTAGGTGAGCATATGTTATTAGGGAGTTTTAGAATAGCGCACCGCGAGCCCTTGCGGTGTGGTCGCTGCCACTGCGCACGCGTCGTAACGTGAGACACCATCCGCGTTCGCGGCCCGCACGCAGAAAATGCGGAATAGCGTGCGGCGATCGTGGACCGCGAGGCCCGCAAAGTGCTGTGAGTAGCTTCCGTGCATTTGGGTTTGCATTCGGGGCGAAAGTCTCAAGACTTTTTCTTAGGGAAGCAGACGCTATTCTAAAACTCATGTGGCCCCCGCTATGCCCGCAACGACCGCAGGCCCTGCAAACGTTATTCTGAAACTCCCTACTAAGACGTTTTTGGGCGTAAAATGGCAGCAGCAATCACAGGGCCGAGCTGACTGGCGGAACATGGGAGAGGCTTTTGTCCTGCAGTGGACCTAGTCAGGATGATGATGATGATGATCATGATGATGATGATGATAATAATGCTGATGACTACGATGATGATGATGACTTTGCAGCTTTGCGGCTACTTTCTATGTAGCTTAGCTATTGTAGAGGTTGGACGGAAATGCATGTAGCTGATGATGTGGAGCAACTGCGGTAGATATTTTCACTACCCACCAAAAAAACTAATGTACTTCAACCACTTTCAAGTTGCCCATCATCATTGTCATTTCGATGACGGAACTTTCACTATATATACAGCCAAACAATTCGAGAGTTACTCTGCTGGCAGTTTCATTTGGAACGACAGTCACGGGATCTCCAAATAAAACATGCCCGAAACCAGTCGTCAATCTTCGTCCCAAAATATAAAATTAGAAAGACAGGTTTGGCAGGTACCTAGATTGCACATCTCGCAGCAAGAGTAATATGGGTAAATTTGACGATGCATTGAAATTATTCTGTGAATATGCATTGACGGCATCAGCATATATTCATAACACACGACTAGTATGCGTATGGTGCCCGCACCGGCAGAAGTTCCTAGTACTCTAGCGTACAGTGTCAGCTCCACAACACTATTCAATGCGTGGCCGTGCACACTTATCACCGACATACAGTGAAGCTTATTGTGCCATATTATTTGAATCGCACGTAGTGCCCGCCATCTCTTTTACGGCTTTTTTGAGGCTACTATTTGAATAATTATTCCTAATTGATAATCGAATGTATTATTTGGCGCCTTCCTTCTTTGAGGCCTTTGTGAGGCTAGTAATCATTTAAAAATAATTTAATTGCATATTTATTAAGTGGCGACTTGCCGTACATCAATAAAGTTTTGCAGCCACCCATCCACCACGTTCATTTCGCTAAATAGTTTTTAAAAAATAAACGGCGTCATCGTAATGTAAAAAGCATAAAAGCACTTTACTGCCGGTATGCATGTCGCTTTCGAGTCACCCAAGTCAAAAGTATTAGAGGGAATCCTTGCGAGTTCTAACGTGAAAGCTTGTTTCGATAATTACATGTGTTGGTGTATCGGCGTCGTTGTTTGTGAGCGCGAAGTCATAATTTTTTTCGGTGATGGAAAAATCAAGAAAAGTGCAAATAAAATAAATAATAGAAATCTGTTCCACTAAGCATCGCCCTTCAACCATGTACGTGGCAAGCAGTTGTTTTACAACAGTGCTTGAAAATCCCTCTTAAAAAAACATTGTAATTATGTCATGTGTACTGGGACGAGTCTCCTTGACTGATGTGATATCTCGCAGCAGGCTCGTAAAATCGCGACAGCCGTCAAAACACGCCAGTTGCAAAGTGATGGAGTGTTTTGAAAGCATATTTTTTACGAAGCGCATAAACAGATTTAACGGTCATCCGCTGCAAAAGCGCCAACAAAGTGAGCCGCAGCGAAGCATTGCATGTTATCTAACGAACACTTCGCTGATTCGCCGAAGGAATCATGGCGCAGTGGGCACATAGCTGCACTGCCAGTACGCAGTTTATGCAAGGGGTGGCAGCAGGCGACCCGGTAGCGCTTGTCCTCATCGTTCCCTTGTCTACCGTGTAGTAGTAGTAGTAGTAGTAGTAGTAGTAGTAGTAGTAGTAGTAGTAGTAGTAGTAGTAGTAGTAGTAGTAGTAGTAGTAGAAAACTTTATTATGTACATAATCCAGACTGGCTATAGAACTCCAGTGCTCCGAGGAATATACAGGGTAAAGAGCGAAGTCTGTCCGGCAGGGTGGTGCCCCTATTCCAGGGCCCCACTGGCGCGAGCGATTCGTTCAGCTCTGTAGATCAGTCGCAGTTGATCCACCAGCGCTGGGCTAGACAGCAGCGCCTCCCATTCCTCCCATGTGACATTGGAGTCGCGTTCATCGTGGTGCTCTGCACACTCCCACGTGATGTGAAAGTCTTAGGGTGGCTCCACACCACGGGAATATATCTGTACGCCGTGGGGTAGATCAGGTGAAGAGTGTGCAGATTTATGTAAGTGTTAGTCTGTATGTCTTTTACCTTTCGCTCTTACGTTTTAACATTTTGCATACGGGGATAGTTTAAATGGGTCAATGTTATGAGCACAGTCATTCACTTCATCACGGCATGGCTGAGGCATGCACCGGAATCTTGAAAAATCAGAAATGTGATGCGCATGGGCCCCCATTATGCTATCGCGTTCTACTATTGAAAAGGATGCTGAAGGCTAGAAAGGAATAGCCTAATCTGTTTAGCATATAGTATTTTTACAGGGAAAGCTGTTTTAATATCTTAACAAAAACCGTTTTTGGCACCATTGTTGTCAGCCGATACCACCGCAGCTGCTCGTAGCAGCTATCGCGCGAAATGAAACGCAAGATCAAAAGCAGAAAGAACATTTAGGCTGAAACTCGGTTAAAATCTGAACCCTCTTCGTGACAGCCCCGTATTCTACCAAACAGCCATTCTGGTGCTTCGAATTTTTTCACGAAAAGACCCTATATGAGGCATTCATTTTGGCTAGGAACGACGTTGACAAGTGTAATATAGAGTGGTAGAAAATTAAAATAACAGACAGTCGTCACACAATGCAAATAGAGTAACGAGAGGGTCAGTTAATGCTTCCATTCAATCACACAAGACTCCGAGATAATTCTTCGTCACCAGCCATAGCACCAAAAAAAAGTGCACACAATGTCTCACATGTGTGTCGCAGGTATCACCCTTCTTCACAGATTCAACAATAATGGCATATTTGATGCTTCTCTGCTTGACAAAAATTATGATTCAAAGCGCAGTGAGTACCTCCCAAACTTACTATCGGCGTCAGAGAAAACCCGATTTTCGGCAAGCCTTCGCGTTATTATAGTGGGCGTCATCCACACATCGCTACAAAACAGGCCACGTATACATATTTTCATAATTATTTCAGACAACCGGTGTACATATTTCCCTAGAGAATCGACTAAAGGCAAAGAAAGCCCAACAAATCGCCAAACCCCTGTGTACACGCACACATAAGTGGATATACATAGAAATTAGAAATGAATGTGGACAATATGATCAAACATTAATGGTTTTTTTTTCGGACATGAAGCCATTAAGCACAAAATTATGTACACAATTGCGGTTAGCACATAAATAATAATGAAAAAACTGCTTAATCATAACAATGGCCGCCAAAT